CGTAACACCTCCACCTGAGTGGGAGGAGGGGAGTGTCAGTCTGAGCTCAGCAGGGAGCAGCTCGCTAACTCCAGCTGCTTCTGCTCGCCAACAGCTTCAAATAAATCGCCCAGTAAAGGTGTCCCACAGCTCAGTGCTGGGCCCATTACAGCACCAGCAGTCAGAGGTTTGGACACAGCTTCACATTTAATGGTTTTTCTTTCATCACTGTTTACAGTGTAAATTCTCACTGAAGGCATCAAACTGAATGAAAACGTGGAATTATGAAGTAAACCCAAACATGTTTTATATCCACCCTCTGCTTCGATTCCTGCTTCGCTCACTCTTGGCCTTCTCTCCACGAGCTTCATGAGGTCGTCTCCTGAAATGGTTTCCAACAGTCTTGAAGGAGTTCAGAGATGCTGAGCGTTTGTCGGGCCTTTGCCTTCACTCTGCGCTCCATCTCATCCCAAACCATCTCCACTGGGTTCAGGTCAGGTGACTGTGAAGGCCAGGCCTCCATCGCTCTCCTTCTTGATCCTCACACAGCCTGGAGGTGTGTTTGGGGTCCTGTTGGAGAATAAATGATGGGACGGCATGTCGCTGCAGGATGCTGTGGTGGCCATGCTGGGTCAGTGTGCCTTCAGTTTGGAAGAAATCCCCAACAGTGTCACCATCACACCCCCTCCTCCATGCTTCACAGTGGGAACATGCACGTGGAGACCATCGTTCACCTTTTCTCCCCAAAGACACGGCAGGTGGAACCAAAGATCTCAGGTTTGGACTCATCAGACCAAAGCACAGATGGTCTGATGTCCATTTGTTGTGTTTCTTGGTCCAAACAAATCTCTTCTTGTTGCTTTATCTTAGTCGTGGTTTCTCAGCAGCTGTTTGACCATAAAGGTCTGATTCACACAGTCTCCTCTGAACATGTACAGATGTGTCTGCTACTGGAGCTCTGTGTGGCATCTGTCTGGGCCCTGATCTGAGCTGCTGCTACATGATCCCAGATGTCTTCAGTTTGTATCTACAATGTGGAAAGTAGCACCAATGAAGAAAGCCCACTAAATGAGAAGGTGTGTCCAGAGTTCTGACTGGTAGTGCAGATCTGATATGACGATGACACGTCTTTCATGTTACTAAAATCTAACCCAACCCGACCTCTGGTGACCCGGACTCTCCCGTTTAATTTGCAGCAGTTTGAAACTCAATGTTCAAACGCTCAGTCACGCTGCAGTTCATACTTTACTCTGATTGGACAGCAGAGGTCATGTTTCGTTCATGCTGTGCTTCAGGTCACGTCTCAGAGGACACGCTGTCAGTTTGGATACTGACGTTCGTGGTAGTGACGAGTGCCACTCTCAAACGACATGCTCGCATTACCTCGCTTTTGTTTATTCTTTATGGACCTTTTCATTGGTCGCAGTCATCTTTGCTTTCCTGTTTCTACAGGAACAAGTTTTTCCACTCTGAGTAGTAATCGCTATGTTGTATTTTGTTAGTTAACGGTGGACGCTTTTACTGCCACCTTCTGGCAGTAAGTGAATCTTACATCCTGCAGACAGCAGTGGAAGAGAAAACATATTTCAAACAGAAAACAGTCAAAGTATTCTTGTCATTTTAAATGTTTGGAGTTAGAGACGTCAGAGTCGCGATACCCAGCTGAATGCCAGGATAAGAAAACCAAAGAAAACCGTGCAGTTGACGGGTAACTAGACTACACTGCCTTTCTTATCAGCGTGAGAGGGTGGAGTTATCACGGCAGGTACGCTAGTCGTCATGTCACACGTAGCTTCTGCGTCTGAGCGACTTCCTTCGTTTTCAGGATAGCAGACTTTTGTAGCTGCATGCTGCCGTCTTCACTTCCTGAAGAACTGCAGGATCAGAGTTTCGCTCCTTAATCCTCAGATAGATGCTAAAGAAGTGCACAAGGTTTCATTCCAGGCCCTCCTTATCCAATCTGTGTGTTTACTTGTGTTCTGTGTATTTCTATCATCTCCTAAATCACTGATCAGGCTTGGCCGACCTCCCTCAGACTAACAGCTGCTGCAGACGTCCCTGTTTTTTAAAGCTGGTTACAAACTTGGAGATGAAATGTGTTGCTCTGAGGCCACATCGTGTGTGCGCCCGTGTTATTTGAACCTGCTGACAGATCAGAGCGCATCACTTCCTGTCATTAGCTGGAATCGAGTGGCGGGCTTCGTCGTCAGATAAAGGAAAGTTTGATGTTGAGCTGCGGTAAACACGCCTCTGCGACGCGAATTCAGCTGGACAGGATACTTTAAGAAAACTCAATCAGATGTTATTTTCTTTCTTTCTTGTTGATTTGCATTCGGTTGAGCTCAGCGCTGGGTTCACTCTGTCAAAGGACCTGCTGACCTGGTTCTGCACGCTCAGGTGTGGTTTCTGTCTCCAAGCTGGACTCACCTGGACGGGTCCAGTTCGTAGTCCTGAGTGCCTGTAACGAGCTCTGGGTGAATCCGGACGTGTTCCAACATCGGCTGACGGGACAGGACAGAGTGTGAGGTGAAACTGAAGGAACACCTGCGGTCATCACATCAGTACCGCCCCCTGCAGGTGTGCACTCACCTTCACCACCTCCTGGAAGGTGTCCAGGTTCTCCTTCATGCTGTAGTGCAGCCGCAGGTAGGAGATGAAGCTACAGGGGAACATCCCATACAGGCGGTGGAACAGAGAGTACGTACCTGCATGGAGGTGCACCAAGTGGGCCACAGGCTCATGACCTGCACGAGCCAATCAGAAAACATCTTATCAACCACTCAGAGAAGCAGACTGACCAATCAGAAAGCATAAGGAGCTGCTTCCTGCAGCGCCCCCTGCTGTGTGAGTGAGTTACCTGGGTTTTTGCAGCTGCGGGATGCAAGGCGCCCAAACACGTCAAAGAAGTCATTGATGTGCTGCTTCCCGGCCTGAGGAATCATGGGTAACAGAGTGACCAGGACCAGGACTCCCGTGATAAGGACGACCACATCGCTGTCCGTCTGAAAAACAGGAAGTGGAATTCTGAGTTTACAGCAGCAGGAATCCGACCTGTGATCCGACCTCACATGATCGACATCATGACAGAATCTGAATGTGCAGGAGGACAGGTGTGTCTCAGGTGTGTGTGTATTACCTTGAGGCAGCGCAGCAGTGACAGCAGCAGCGGCGAGCGGCTGATGTGATGAACCCATGGCGGCTGTTTCCTGATCAGGTGACCCAGCAGGGTGAGGGCGCCCAGCCTGGTCCCGGATCGACTCACAGACTCGTTGAGCTTCTCCAGCAGCACCTAGTGGGCGGGGCCAACAGGTGTTAGAGTCACAGAGATAAAGAACAGGAGATCTGCGAGCAGGCGAGGCTCACTTTGTGATGCGGCTCCCTGATGGAGGAGAGGAGGAGCAGGGCCTGAGAAGATGACGAGTCCAGGTAGTACTCCACCACGGAGGAGAGGACAGCGCCCCCTTTGTCTGAGAGGAGAAACATGCATGCTGGGAGCTCTGCACTGATTGGCCGTCACAAGTGATGTCAGACTGAGTTGATAAGGTTGCTTTGTTGGACGTCAGCAAAACTGCAGCTTCGTGATTGGTTCACGTGGTGAGCGCGTCACAGAGATGCAGACCTGCGTCATTCCTTTGTGCTGCACAGTTGAACTCACCTGTACTCAGCTGCTGGTTGACTGCAGCTCTCACTCGCTCCGCCTCCTGCAGCTCTGAACTGTCCAGTGAGAGCAGGAGCTCGCTGATGCTCGCCTGCTCCCTGGACATCGCGGACACCTGCAATTCGGCCAGACAGTGAACGCATCATAACACAGGCCAGACAGCTGAACGTCACGTGAGGTCACGTTGACGTCATCGTGTTCAGTTCTCTGTGACAGAGGAACAAAATCAATAATCGATGATTATCTGCTACTTCTTTTTCTGTCCCCACACAGTCATCAGTGTGTGCTGGCCTAACACTGCGCAAACTTTGACCTCACGCCTGTTGTGTAACAGCTGCTGTCACGTCACTGGTAGCCCTCCGTTAGCAGCTGATGCTAATCTAACATGCTAACAAGCAGTGTAGCGGCCACGTACCGGCGTCCCGGGACCCGACCCCGCGGAGGAGCCTGCGGCCGGGATACGGAGCGCAGACAGCCGCTCAAACCGACCAAAGAGCCGCAGAGACGGTTACCTTCAGACCTGCTGATCCCAGCACGGAGCAGCCATCTTCAGCTACAGCAGGACCCGCCCACCGCGGTGACACGAGCCTCAGCAGCCAATCACACACAGGAGGCGTTCAGAGCCACCCGTCAAGATGGGAAAAAGGATGATTTATTATTATTATTATTATTATTATTGTTGTTGTTGTTGTTGTTGTTATACTTTTGTGTGGATACAAACAAACAGCTGGGGTCCGTTCTTCGTACCTCGCTTACTACATCCAAGATCAAATCATCGCACTAACTTTGAGCTCACTATCCCGGTTCTCCGAACACACCTGTTGTTGACGATCAGTACAGCTGGATGAAGTAATGTGAGATCACTGGGTGGCTTAACAGGGGCTACGCATCGATAGTAGAAACATTGATCGGCAACCCTTTGATTGGTCGGCGAAAATGTCGAAGGCGCGCTCTCGGTATTTTTCGGCAGCAGAGCAAGAACTCTTGAGTGAGGGATTTCAGGAGTTTCAGAGTTTAATCAGAACGCAAGGGAACACTGCAAAGGCTGCAAAAGCAAGGAGAGAGGGCTGGCAGAAAGTTGCTGACAAATTAAACTCGTAATTAATGTATTATATTATATTACATTATATCCTCTTTCACATTAGAGCCACGACAGGACCCACTAGAACATGGGAACAAGTAAAAGTGAAATATAAGAATATTCTACTGAATGGTAATATTGATCACTTATATTGCTTTTCGTCTCTTGGAAAGAGACCCTGAAATAATCTGTTTGTTTGTTTATAACAGCAACCAAGAAAAGGGCAGAGCACAAAAAGACAGGTGGTGGTCCTGCACCCCCTCGTCACACCCCGGCAGAGGA